AGTATCCTTCCATATATAAACCTTTCCTTGACTTTTTACAATAATAAACTAACACTTTATTTGTCCTTCTGTGATTGACTTTTTTCACTCAGCATAATGTCCTCCAACTTCATCCATGTTACGTGGTGTTGTGCAGATTCTACATTATTCTTTGGTGTGGCATAGTATTCCACTGTGTTTATGTACCATAGCTTGGATGTCCATTCTTCTGTTGATGGGCATCTAGGTTGTCGCCATCTTTTTGCTATTGTAAATAGTGCTGTGATGAACATGGGTGTGCATATATCGGTTCTTGTCCTGGCTCTCACTTCTTAAGGAATCACCAAACTGCTTTTCACAGTGGTTGTATCACTTTACAGTCCCACCAGCAGTGTATGAGTCCCAACCTCTTCACATCCTCACCAGTATTTATATTTTCTGTCTTGTTGAGCTTTGACATTAGTGCTGGGGTGAGATGGTATCTCATTGTTTTTATTTGCACCTCTCTGATGGCAAATGATCGTGAGCATTCCTTCATGTATTTGCTGTCTGCCTTAATATCCTCTTTGGTAAATTGTCTATTCATGTCTTCTGCCCATTTTTTAATTTGATTGTTAATCTTTTTGTTGTTGAAGTGTTGGAGTCTTCTATAAATTTTAGTGATAAGTCCCTTGTAAGATATGTTATTACCAAATATTTTTTCCCAATCTGTAGGTTCTCTTTTGACTCTTTTGGCAGTGTAATTATTGACAAGTATGAATTTGTTGCTGTCATTTTGTTTTGTGGATTTGTCGTGTAGCTGATTTCTTTGTTCCATATAATTTTCTGTGCTGAGCTCATTTTGTTTATGAATCATATTATCACTTCCTTTGTTGCTATTGTTTTCGTATTTGCTAAATATTTATGCTGTGTTTTTTTTTTAATTTTGATGTAAAGGTTTATCGTATTTCTTTGAAGTCATCCTATGATTTATAATTTTCTTCCCAAGTTTAGAACAGTTAGTTCTATCTTGCAGTTGTCGTGAGTTCCCTACCATTTAGAAGTTCTGTAACTACACAATTTTTTCCCTCTTTTTGGTTTGTAGTTGTCCTCATTTGTCAATTGATGTCTCTGGTTCCCTGTTTACAATCCTGTAGGCTTACTTATTTTGGATACTTCCATAACTGAGTTGGTTTCTGGGTTATCTCATCATGTGTGTTAACGGTCAGTTGTTTGCTGCTGTTGGTTCTCTGTCCAAAGGACTCCTTTTAGCATTTCTTGTAAGGTTCGTCTGGTTTTAACAAATTCCCTTAATTTCTGCTTATCTGGAAAGGTCCTAATTTCACCATCATATTTGAGGGATAGTTTTGCTGGGTACATAATTCTTGGTTGGAAATTTTTCTCTTTCAGGGTTTTATATATACCATCCTATTGCCTTTTGGCCTGCATGGTTTCTGCTGAGAAAGCCAAGCTTAGTCTTATTGGTTGTCCCTTGTAGGTTACTTTTTGTTTTTCTTGTGCTGCTTTCAGGATTCTTTATCTTTGGTTTTGATGAATTTGATGATGACATGTCTTGGTGATTTTCTTTTGAGGTCTATCCTGTTTGGGGTTTGTTGGACTAACTGAATGGATATAGTCTCATCTTTCATCTTTCCAGGGAAATTCTCTTCCAACAAATCTTCAACAATTTTCTCTGGTTTTCTTTATCTCTTCCTGTTCTGAATTCCAATTAAATGTAGGTTATTCCTTTTGATGGTATCCCACATGAATCTTAGGCTTTCTTCATTTTGTTTTGATCATTTTTCTGACTGATTCCTTTCCAAAGAAGCATTCAGGCATTTATCTTCAATCTCACTAATTCTGCCTTCTATCGATTCAATTCTACTCCTCTGTCCTTTCAGTGTCATCTATTTCTGAATTTTAGTATTAACCTTCTGGAAATCTACCTGTAGATTTTGAATCACTTCTAATTTTTCATTTATTTTGTCATTTTGTTCTTGTATTGTCTTTTGAAATTATTCTAGGGTATTCTGTGTGTTTTTCTCCATTGAAGGTACCTAAATCTAATTCTTTCGAATTCCTTATCATGGAGTTCTAAGGCTGCTTCTTTCTTAGGGATGTATTCTGGGTCTGTATCCTAGTCTCTTGTTTCTCCTGTTTTATACTGCTTCTTTGCGTGGACTGTGATGCTCTGTTGTTTCTGAGGCATTGTGACATTTTTGTGTTTACATTTAATTGGTGATTGTATATTGGAGTGACTTGCCCATAATTTTTGTTTTTGTTTGGATGTTATCTATGTAAGCAGGGTACTGTGCTCCTCTATTCACTAGTTGGCAGCACTTCTACACTCACCACTTGTCTCCTTTCCTGTTGTCAGCCTACTGTATGTCCCTGCTGTCCTTGGCAAACAGAGCCTATTCTTAGGTCCCTGGAATCCAAATGAGAATGCTGTCACTTTAAATATCCAAAATGGCCACCACTGGTAAACATTCCAAATGGCTGCACCCTCAGTCACTTTAAATATCGATAATGGCCGCTACCTGTAAACATTCAAAATGGCGGCTCCCTCAGTCACTTGAAATATCCAGAACAGCTGTCTCTTGTAAACTATCAAAATAAAATATTACACTCCAGACAGCTGAAAGTCCACAGCTCAGGTTGTCTCCTTCTGTGCTGTTTCCCTTCCTAGTCATCAGCCACCAGTGCAGTAGTTCCTGCAGCCCTTGGTGACCAGGGCTGATCTTTAGGTCAATTCTCAGGTTCCAATACCACTTGGAAATATTCAGGCTCTTGGTGCTGTCAGAGTAGCTGACAGTCCGCAGCTCCATCCATCTCCACACTCATTGTTTTCATTCCAATTTTTCTACTATTGCTGTTAGGTGCCATTGAGTTGTCTCCAACTCATAGCAACCCTACACACAGCAGAATGAACCACCACCTGGTCTTGTACCAGCTCCATGATCCCTGCTATACCACAGCCACTGTGTCAATTTATTTCATTGAGGGCCTTCCCCTCTTTCGTTGACCTTCCACTTTACCAAACATGATATCCTTCTGGTAACATGGTCGCTTCTGATAACATGACCAGAGTAAGTGAGACGAAGTCTAGCCATTCTCACTTCCAAGGAGCATTTTGGCTGCACTTCCTCCAGGACAGATTTGTTAGGTATTTTAGCAGTCCATGGCACTTTCAGCATTCTTCACTAGCACCACAACTCAAAAGATCAACTCTTCTTTGGCCTTCCTTATTCATTGTCCAGCTCTCACATGCATATGATATCATGGCTTGTACGAGGCACGTCCTCAAGCAGACATCTCTGCTCCTCCTCACTTGAAAGAGGTCCTTTGCAGGCAACTTGCCCAGTGCTATACGTCATCTGATGTCCTGATTGCTGCTTTCCATTGGCATTGATTATAGAACCAAGCAATGTGAAATCTTTGACAACTTCAATCTTTTCTCCATTTATCCTGATGCTTATTGTGAGGATTTTTGTTTTCTTTATATTGAGATGTAATTCATACTGCAGACTGTATTCTTCAATCTTCATCAGTACGTGCTTCAAGTCATCCTCACTTTCAGCAAACAAAGCTGTGTCATCAGCGTATTGTAAGTTGTTAATGACTCTTCTTCCAATCTTGATGCTACATTCTTCTTCATATAGTTCAGCTTCTTGGATTATCTGCTCAGCATATAGATTGAATAAGTAAAGCAAAAAGGTCTCTCCCCTTGCCTGGATCCCTGCTGCTCGGTCTGTGTTTGCCTGGCTTTTCTCCCCCCGCTACCTGCCTCTTGGGGGTGGGGCCTGTGTCCCTCACCTTACCTGGATCCCTGCCGCTCGGTCTGTGGTCACCCAGCTTTTCTTTTCCCCACTTCCTGCCTCTTGGGGGTGGTTTTTCCACTAGTTGGTGCCTAATCCACTTCTGTATACTTCCTTTTAAAGCTCAGGGCTCCAGGATTATCTTCTGTATCTCTGTCAACTGGTTTTTCATTTCTTTTTTGAAGAGGGTCTGTGTAGCTTAACTGCTTATTCCACCATCTTACTGGAAGTCCATGCTCCCTTAATTTTCATGGAATTTATTTTTAGTCTAATAGTCAGATATTAGTTATTTCTTTACCACAATAATATATCAGTTTCTTCTATTTTCTATGGTATTAAAAATTCTACTCAATGAAGTTTTGAAAATTCCCTAGATATTTTTGAGTAAAAAATTTATGACTTTTACTTTTAGATTCACTTAAGGAAGCATTTTAAGTTGCTATTTCTGTCTCATAAATCTTAATGCATCAAAATAAGACTTGATGTGGGTCCATGGTAAGGCTAGATTATAAAAGAAATCCAGTCTGCAACAGAGGAAGGAGTCAAGAATAGGAGGAATATATGGAACTGCCTTCATGAACAACTGCCTCCTTTGCCATGAGAGTAGAAGAACTGGATGGTGCCTGGCTACCATTACTGAACATTTTGATCAAAGACTCTATAGAAGAATTCTGATCAAAATGCAGAATATAATTCCAAATTCTCACAGAAGCTGGTCTTCCTGAGCCATGGAGGCTGACTGAATCCCTGAATCTACTGCCTTGAGATAATCTTTAAACCTTAAACCAAAAACATCCCCTGAAGTTTTCTTTAAACCAAGTAATAGTTTAGCTTAACTAGTAAACAATGTCTCTCTTGAGCACTGTAGTCCTTTAAGATCTATATATATGGGATCAAATCAACAACAGCAACTTCAAAGATTAGATAGGAAATATAGGGTACAGTGACTTTATGTTAATGGGGAGGGACAACTCTAAAAAGCAGGGTGACAATGGTTGCACAGCTTGAAGAATGTCATGTCACTAAATTGTACATATAGAAACTATTGAATTGATGTATGTTTTTGTGTATATTTTCAAAAACAACAGAAAATAAAAAGAAATCTAGTTACAAGAAAATTTTTCATTTACTTAAATAAAAAAACACACACTACATATATAATTTTTAAAAAGAAATTTTATAGTTTAGCCACTTCAATAATATCTTAAGGAAAAATTCTTTAGATAAGAAACATGCAATTCCCAGTCTTATCATAGCTATACATTACTAGCATTGCTTTGTTCTGTTGTACACAGGGTTGCTATGGGTCAGAGCCAACTTGACAGCACCTAACAATAACAACAGCATACATTACTAGAATACATTTTTCTATAAAAAGCGAGTTCATGATAAAATGCCACGTGAAAAGATTTCTTCCTGTGCTGTGTACAGATCTGACATACCCTTACCAGCTGTCTCTCCAGCCAACTTATGCCAGGTTTGCAGCTTGGTTTATCATTTAAGTAAGTGACATACCTTGCAGTTGGACCAGTGTCATCTTCTTCAGACTCTTGATTTCCTTCTTCATACAAAGAACTGCTATCCTCATTGCTGTCTGATGAATCTGAACTACTGCTTTTATAATTAGGTGGCAAAGCCGGTCCTGCAACTGAAGAGGATTCATTGTGTATGTCGTAACTAATCACAACTGCTCCAATGACCCCTTTAGCAGATATTTCTCACTTTCCTTTCTGCAATTTGTAGCCCTGGCTGTCTCATTCACTATGAATCTTCCCATCATTTGAAAATGTTTTGTATATGTAGTTTTGCCTTCCCAATTACATTGTAAGTTCCAAGAATGCAGAAATCATGTCTTATATACTACAACCAGGATATTCACATGAACTTTGTTAATTTTCAAATTTATAAATTTAAGAATAGCATATAATTCCCTCAATGACATATAGTTGTTGTATTGGTTGGTGTACTTGCCAAATGAGTTTCATGACTGTTTTCTTATAAACAACATATGGCAGACATATTTATGTCATAGTTAACCTAACAACAAATGTGCTATTCCATACTCTAACACATCATGAATCAAAATGATCTATTCTGAATCACTACTTCTAAAAAGATATCTTTACTAGCATCACTATGCTTACTAGTTTTCTTTTCAAGATGACTTTTAAGAATAAAATTATAGTGACTCTAAATTTTACTGCTCATTAACAGAGAGACATAGAAGAGGTTGCACTGTTCGGGACCATGGTTGCAGGGGACATCAAGTTCAACTGGCATAACATACTACACAAAAACATTGTCCTACATCCTACTTTAGTGAGTAGTGACTGGGGTCTTAAAAGCTTGCAAGCAGCCATTTAAATGCCGAGAGATGGGTCTCTCATCATCCAGAGCAAAGAAGAATAAAAAAAGCAGAGATGCATGGAAACAATTAGTCCAAGGGACTAGTGACCACGCGATCTTCAGCCTATATGACCATGAGACCAGAACTAGATGGTATCTGGCTACCACTGTCAACCACTTGGAAAGGGATCAGTGCAGGAAATCCTGGATAGAGTGGGAGAACACTGTGGAACAAAACTTAAGATCATAAAAAAGATAAGTTTGCTGGTCTGACAGAGCCTGGTAAGACCTGCAAGACTATAGCTCCTAGTTACCCTTCAGGTCTGGAATTGAACTCACTCACTCCCATGGCTTCCAGCCAAACAAAAAACAGGCATATATGTTGAACATTTATATCAAATAGATAACACTCCGTAGAATGTTCAATCATGAAAGAACAGAAGGGTAGTATTTGTACAGGGAGATAGTTCAGGAAAGAAGAACACAGGAAAGAAGAACTTACAGGGAGAAAGTGGGAAGAGAGTTGTTACATTGTGGGGAATTACCCTCAAAGTCATGAAACAAAATGTGTATGAACTGCTATTTGGAAAATGAATTTGCTCTGTAAACTTTCATGCAAATCACAATAAAAAGAAAAAAAGAAAAAAAAAAAACAAGCATTTAACCTATTTACTGCTGACAACAACCTTATTGTAAGCAAAACTCACTGTCATTGAGTCAAATTCAATTCATAGCAACCCCCGGTGGGTTTCCGAGACTGTAAATCTTTATGGAAGTAGACTGCTCCATCTTCCTTCTGCAGAGCAGCTGGTGGGTTGGAACCACTGACCTGGTTAGCTGCCCAATGCCTTTTCTACTATGCCACCACAGTGCCTTAACAACCTTATTAGGGAGATGCTATTATTTCTATTTTATCAGTCAAAAAACTGAGGCACAGAAAGAATAAATAACTTGCTCAGCTTCAGATACTAAATAGTGAAGCTGAGACAGCTTGATTTTTAAGCCATATCCTTAACTACCATACTAATCAACATTCAACAAATAGTGAACATCCACATGCAATAAACATTTATTGAGTAAATGCTTCTTCAGAAACAAACATAAAAAGAATATAAAATCAGTCTAGATGGTTAAAGTGCTATTATGAAAACAGGAAAAAGGTGAGTGTGGACATGTGGTACGGTAATTTTAAATACAGTCATAAGGGAAGGCTTCACTGAGAAGAGGGCATTTGAATAGAGACACACATGATGAGATGCCAGTGGCCACGCAACTGTCTGAGAAGAAAGCATTCCGGAAAGAGGAAAAGCTAGTGCAAAAGTCCTATGGAGGAACAAGCTTGATGTGCTTGAGGGACAAAATGGCCAGTATGATTAAAGCAAAGTGAGCAAAGAAAATGAAACTGAATGGTACAAATTGAATGTGTACTTTTGAGCTGGTCTCCCTGACTGTGAATTCCAGTTCAGCCACATGCCAGTTGTGTGATCTGAATAGGTTATTTAACCTTCCTGTGTTATTTCCTTCGTCTTCAAAGTGAGGTTAATAATAATTCCAACATTATAGAGTTGTTGTGAAGATTAAACTAGTTAATACTCGCATTTAACACTGTATTTAGCTGGCACACAGTAAGTAATAAATGCTAGAACAGGTTATGGTAAGAAGTTTGGACTTTAGTTAATTACAACAGGCAGCCATGGGAAGTTTTAAGTATGGAAGGGCATGATCTGAGCTACCTTTTCAAGAAAACAAAACAAAACTGCTAGTGGACAATAGACAAGGGGTCAGAGGAGATGAGTCAGAAAGCTGATTAAAAATGGTTACATTTGCAATAAAATTTGAAGGAAGAGTAAAGAGTACTCACTAATCATCTGGAGATGAGAGATGAGAGCAAAAACAGAAGAGCTGAGGGTGATTTTTAGATTGTTGGCCTGATTGGCAAGCCAGAGGGATGGTAATGTCATTCCCGACTCATAGCGACCCCTCTTTGGGTTTCTGAGGTGGCATCACTACAGAAGTAGATTGCCCAACCTTCCTTCCAAGGAGTGGCTGGTGGGTTTGAACTGCTAGCCTTCTGGTTAGCAATCAAATGCCTTAGATACTACGCCACCAGAACTCCCAAGATAGTGAAGACTAGGAGAGGAGCAGGTTTTGGGGAAAAGTTAAGAGCTTTAATTTTTACATCTTAAGTACTTTAAAAGCATGCAAAAACTAATCTATACTGTTATATAAGTCAAGATAATAGTGAAAGTTTATTAATCTGTGGATTTTCATATGTACACTTTTCTGTTTGTTTACTGTACTTCACAAAAAGGTTAAAAAAAAATCCTAAATTTCATCAGAAGCCAAGAAAATGAAAAAATATGTCAAAGATACTGATACCCATAAACTTCTTAAAAGTCAAAGATAGAATAACATGAATAAAAGAACAATGTAATAACAAATTATATCTGCAGAATTTTTGAGATCTGTTTTAGATCAGCAGTTTATAAGCTTTGCTGGTTTCTGTTTCTCTAGAGAACCCAGTCTAACACATTTGGTACCAGGAGTGGGATCCAGCCAAGTTGTCACACAGCTCCAACTGTCACAAGAGGTAAGGAAGTAAATGAATTATACATGAAAGATAATGTACTAAAAATGGTTAACTCAGTGCAAGATATCGTGTTTGTTAAAAGGGGGAAGTCATTCAAAAAATACCCACTAAAGATCTTTTTAGCATTGAGGTTGGTTGAAGTGAAAGCTCCTTCAGGGTAGAGAGGAAGACACACGTTCACAGGCATAATGTGTTAAGAGCTTAAAGAATAAGAAAGAAGGAGAAGGAGAGAAAGGAGATAATAAAAGAACCAAGGAGAAGAGAGTGGACAGAGAAAGAGGTACCTGAAGTAACCGCTGGTAAAATGATCAAACTGGATCATAATAAATTTATTTGGGACATGGTGGTTACTCATGCCAATCCTGCCTTGGATTAAAATTAGAAAACATGGTGAAATGGAAACAACACACATCAAAGAACCCAACTAGGTAACTTGGCTAATCACATTTTTCCTCAACCTTAGCTGAATGGAATCTTCCTCACTAAAACAAAGATCCACTGACGAGTGGATTCCGACTACAGGACAGAGCAGAACTTCCTCACAGGGTTTCCAAGGCTATAATCTTTACAGAAGCTGTCTTTTTCGTGGTGGTTGGCTTGAACCACTGACCTTACAGTTAGCAGTCAAGCGCTTTAACCACTGCATCATTAGATCATGGCTTTTTAAATGGCTATAAGGGAAATGAAGGAGCCCTGGTGGCACAGTGGGAAAGGGATTTGGCAAACCAGAATGAGTCAAAATCAACTTTTTTTTTTTTTTTTTTAAATAAGGGTAATGGGACCTCAAACAAAAATCTCTAGGCAGAAGCATGGCCTTGGGGTAAAGGGCAAAAATTAGAGTTAGAAATGAAAGAGTTACTTTTATGGAAGTAGATTTTACTTTTAAAAAGTAGATTTTTTTTTTTTAGTTTTACTTTTCTCCAGTTACGGTGTCAATCTCAGTCTTCTATTTAGAACAAACACTAAAGGAGATAAATATACATGGAGGAGTCTGAGAAGAAGTTACCTGGCAAGTATCAAGTGCCTACTATGTGTTAAGGTTAGAAGACCACAGTGCAGTGGTGGAGACTTATACTGACAAACAATTCAAATACAGTGTACTAAATATTGAAGATGGAATTAAGTAGGGGAAAAACCTCATGGGTAAAAAGGCAGGTGTGACAATGCTTGGGAGAGTTTAGAAAGGCTTCAATGAGGTGACAGCTAAATTGGAGCCTTGAAAGATGGGTAAGAATCTGTCAGTTTTGTCAAGACGTGCAAAAGGAATGAGACTAGAAAGGACATACAGCATCGAAGAACTGTACAGAAATCTGAACACTGGGCACGCGTTCGTCTGTGTCACGCAATGACATAATGGGAGGTTAGGGAACAGGTCCCTAGAGAGCAAAGAATCTTCTGTGAGAGTCAAGGGTCTTGGACATAAGAAGGCAATAAATATGAAACAGTGGTTAGGGGCACTGGCTCCATTGTTCTAATTCGGGCTCCGGCATTTACTAGCTATGTGATCTGGGCACCCGTCGGAGCCTCGGGTTCCCCGTTTGGAAAGAGAGAATGACAATAAACAATCTTTACCTAGCTCCTAGGAGTAAATGACGGACTGTGTGGCAACCGTTCAGTACAGCGTTTGTCTCACATTAAGCGCTAAATAAGAGTACATCATCATTAATAACGATTACCAAGCCTAAGTATGAGCAACGCACCTTGCTTTCTGAGGAGCCCGCACTATCCCCTCCCCACTGGTAGGGCTTAGGAGGGAAATTTGGCAGCGACTGCTCTCTACTTCTCCATCCTCCCAGGCTTCTCCTCACAGAGCTGGGTAGGGCCAAGGAGGTGGCAAACACGGGTAGTGGGCAAGGGTCGCGCCTCTGCTTACCCGGACTCGGGTCCCTCTCCTTGTCTTCCGCTGTCCCGCGAGCGTTAAAGCCGGGCGGAAGCGCCGGACCGATCAAGTCTCTCGCCATATGCGGCGGCGGAACCTAATTACGGACACAAATTTTTCAGTGCAGAATCAGACCTAACCAAGAGGCAGGCTGCAAATCCGCCGCCAAAGCTAGAAGCTTTTCCGGTGCGGACAAATGACGTATCGACTTGTGACTGGCTATGGCATGTAATTAACGTAACGGAAGTGACGCTACAATCTTGTTCCACATTCTCGGGCAAGACCTGGTGAGTCGCATGGCTGAACCGGCTAGTGGTTTCGTGACCCCTTCGGGATGGTTTCCACCCCCGGAGTTGACTCCCACGTTGGGGCCTCTGAGTGACACTGCCCTGATGCCAGACAACTGGATGCCCTGGGCAATGATGCGGCCGCCGCAACCTCCTTCGTCGTCTCCTTCCACGGCTGCATTAGAGCCTTTCTCGGAGGCGCAGCTCCCCCGCAAGGCCCAGGCACTCCCCGTGGCGCCGCCCCCCTTCGACGCCCAGCTTCTTCCTGGGGCACAGCCCCCCTTCGACGCCCAGTACCCTGTTGATTCTCAGCCTCGACTCAACGTCCAGCCTTCCTGGAATTGCCAAGCTTCGACATCGTGGTGCTGGAGACAGTCTTCTGATACTTTTCCCCAGCATCAGAAGCCCCACAACACTCCTGGTATGCTGTTTTTCCTCGTAGTATCACTCTCACCCTTCTTCCCTTTCCTATTTCTTCTCTCTACTTCTGGTTATTCTCTTAACTCTTGGAGTCTGGTCATTATCGCCCCACACTGCGTCCGACTGGAATGTTATCCCCGCATTTATTTTAACAGGCTTTTATTGGATTCCAACTATGTAATGGGAACTGGGAGTATAGCAGTAAACAAAACATACAAAAATCTTTGTCTTTATGGAGGTAACATTTCCCTGATACGGGAACACAGACTTTGAACAAAATGCTTGGATTGTTATATTAGAAGATAAAGATTGGTATGGAAAGAGATGAAGCAATAAAGAATGATAGGTAGAACAGATTTAAATGGAATGACAGGGGCAGCCTCATTAGAAAAGTGACGTTTGAGTGAAGACATCAGGGACCAGAGCTATGGATGTATCTGGGGGAAGAGGGATATAGGCAAGTGCAAAAGCCTTGAAGCAAATGTTGTAAAATAGAATGGACGAGACCAGTGTAGCCAGAGAGGACAGAGTCTGTAGTAGAGTGGCAGAAAATGAAGGAAGAAGGCTGACCTTAAAGGGCCTTGTAGACCTTAATGGAGTTTGACTTTTACCCTTGTGAGATGGGTAGCCATTGACAGGTTTTGTGCAAGGGAGGGACATTTGATTTTTGTTTTAAAAGGTTTAATCTGGCTGGTGTGTTAGAAAATGACTGTAAGAGAGTTAGTTGAATTATCCAGGTGAGAGATAGGACCAGGGTAGAGCTCTAGAGGTGATAAGTCAACTTGTAGGTATATTTTAAAGGTAGGGTTCATATGATTTGCTAAAGGATTCCACGTGGAGTGTGATATAAAGAAGTGACAAGGGTGACTTATAAGACAAAAAGAAATGAGATGGGGAAGAAGGTGGATGGAACAGATTTGGAAAGAAAGGCCCTGAATTGAGTTTGGAAGATATTAGTGTCAAATAGAGTTACTGAGTGGGTTGTTAGTGATGAGTCTGTACTTTCAAGGGAGATGTGTGTGGAGCTGTGAATTTCAGCATATTAAAAAAAACCAAAACTAAATTCACTGTCATTGAGTTGTTTCTAACTCATAACGATCCCCATTGGGTTTTGAAGGCTGTAAATCTTTATGGAAGTAGATTGGCCCATCTTCCTCCCGCAAAACAGCTGGTTGGTTTGAACTGATGACCTTCTGGTTAGCAGTCAAGTATCTTATCCACGATGGCACCAGAGCTCCATCAGTGTATAGATCATGTTTAAAGCCAGAAGATAGTTAATTTAAAATGATTATCTCTGTGTGAAATTCCATTTAGGTGAAATGGAATTCAAAAACATACCTAATCAGTGTTCATACAGTATACATTCATATGGTAGGTATATGAATGTGACTAAGATAGTCCCTAAGCCAGGTGATAAAGTTTTAGAAATACAAATCACAATTCAGTGTGACTGGTGATGTTGTTGTTGTTGTTGGGTGCCATCAAGTAGGCTCCGACTCACAGTGACCTTTTGTAGAACACAGTGAAACACTGCTTAGTCCTGCACCAGCCTCACTATTCTTGATACCTGAGCCCATCATTGTAGCTACTGCAGTCTATCTTATTGAGGCCCTTCTCCTTTCTTGCTGTCCCTCCACTTTACCAAGCATGATATCCTTTTACGGGGAATGGTCCCTTCTGATGACATGACCAAATTAGGTGAGACGAAGTCTGACCATTCTGGCTTCCAAGGAGCATTCTGGCTGCACTTCTTCTAGGGCAGATTTGTTCGTTCTGGTAATCCGTGGTACTTTCAGTATTCTCCACCAACACCACAACTCACAAGCATCAACTCTTCTTTGGTCTTCCTTATTCAATGTCCAGCTTTCACATGCATATAAAACCCAAAACCAAACTAACTGCCATCTAGTCAGATCCGACTCTTAGTGACCCTTTCTTGGGTTTCTGAGGTGATATATCACTATGGAAGTAGATTGCCCAGTCTTCCTTCCAAGGAGTGGCTGCTGGGTTTGAACCACCAGCTTCATAAAGCTATTGAAAATACCATCGCTTGGGTGAGGCACACCTTAGTCTTCAAAGAGATGTCTTTGCTCTTCAGCACTTGATAAACTAAAACCAAACCAAAGTCACTGCCATCGAGTTGGTCCTGATTCATAGCAACCACTCCTTGGATTCCGAGGCAGTATCACTACAGAAGTAGATTGTCCCACCTTCGTTCCAAGAATTGGCTGGTGGGTTTGAACCGCAAGCCTTCTGGTTAGCAGTTAAGTACCTTAGGCACTATGCTACCAGAGCTCCTAGCTCCTTGATGGAGGCATATAAAAGATTTTCAGAGTGCAGAGGAAATTGGGAAAAGGTTTGAAAGAAGTGTCTTTGGAGATGTATAGGATTTGGGGAGATACACTTTCTTTTTTAATTTTTATTGTGATTTGGATGAAAGTTTACAGAGCACATTCATTTTCCATATAGCAGTTCATATACATTTTGTTTCATGACTTTAACAGCAATTCTCCACAGTGTAACAGCTCCTTTCCCACTTCCTCCCTGTAGTTACCTCTTCCCATAGTCCTCTTTCCTATGCAAGCCTGCCCCCTGGGAAGATGTACTTTCTGTGTAGAAGCAGAGATGTCAGTACATAGTGAGGTCAGTAGATTGCAGTGTTCTCGTGTGACTGAGAGGGCGGTGGTGGTAGAATTCTTGCATCCCCTGCAGGAGACCTGGGTTTGAGTCCTAGCCAGTGATCCTCCAGTGGAGATTTGCATGATGCCATGATGCTGAACAGCTTTCAGTGGAGCTTCTAGACTAAGACAGATTAGGAAGGAAGTTCTGGCAGTCTATTTCTGAGGATAAGCCAGTGAGAACCCTATGGATAACAATAGTCCAGTCCGCTGCTGATTGTGGGGGTGGTGCAGGATGGGGCAACATTTTATTCTGTTATGTATGGGGTTGTCATGAGTGGGGGGCAGAGGTGGATATGGGGAAGAGTAGGGTGAGAAAATAAGCTGGAATTTCATTGGAGGACTCTAGGATGCCATTTGCAGATTTTTGAACAGGGTAGTGACATGATTGGAGTCATTTTTGTGGTGCCATTGTGCAAGATCTGTTGGACATGAGAGGGCTTAAGAACCAGAAGGCAGTTTAATTTAGGAGGCTGTCACAGTGATCCAGGTGAAAGATCAGGGTTTCTGAGTTGGTTGATGGCAGTGATAATGGGAAAAGGCAGCAGGATTTGAGCGAAGATGTATTTTACAAAGTTCTGTTTTCTTGGTATTAAATTGATACTGAATGAGCTGTATCAGGGATTTCATTGTTTAAATTTTAATATTTGAAATAACTGCAAGGAATTTCATCCGTTAGATTGTCCATTTCTGTACTTAGATGCCTAAATAGGGATGTGTAATCTTGTCAATGTTTATTCATTTGAAAAGTGTTCATTTGGTAGACTAGTCTTATCTTTGTTGATTTATTTGAATTTGAGCTATTGTTCTTCCTAGAAGGGCTAGTTTAGCAGTGTTTTTACTCAGGTTTTTATAACATTCTTTCACAAGTAAAATTTTAAATAATTGTATATTTGCAAACATTGATGGATTGCTTTTTGTTTTTTCAGTTAAACATTCTTTTTTTCCACGAAAATATGATGCAAACTTCAATGATTTCAACTTCTCTCCCAGTAGAAAACAGAAGAAAAAGGTATTTTTAAGATATTCTTGGATGTGATACTTTGGTCCTATGTCACTTTTTCATATCTTTCATTACTGTCATAACTGTCTCAGTGTTTTGCCTCCATTACTGATATGGTAGAATATATAGCATCTTACCTGTACAAAAAAGCTTTAATCAAAATCTGTTTGAGAAAAAAAATGGAGAAATTGTACAAAAAGGACTAATAAAAAGCATTGAATACATTTCAGTATACAATCAAGAGTAAAAATAACAGAGAATTATGATTATAGAACAATGTAAGTATTGTTAAAACCCTGATAAAATCAGAAATAATATTACTAGCAGATTGGAAGAGGAAGGAAGAAATTTAGGGAGAAGAAGAAAAGTGAAAAATTTAAAAATTGTTAACACAGGAGGATCTTTTAGGAAATGATATTTCTGTACCAAAAGAAAATACAATTCCTTTAGTTTCTCTTTATTATAATGCAAGTAAAACTAAGTTTATTGTTTTAAATTTGAAATAGTTTGTATGTAGTCATCCTCAGCATTAAAAGAACGCTGGTAGCACTGTGGTTAAAGCATTGGGCTTCTAACTAACAGATGATTGTTCAAACCTACCAGCTGCTATGCAGGAGAAAAATGGCACAGTCTGCTTCTATAAAGATTTACCCTTAGAAACCCTATGAGGCAGTTCTACTCTATCTTATAGGGTTGCAATTAGTTAGAATTGACTCAGTAAACCAAAATCAAACCAAACCAAACTCACGGTTTTTCTATGCATGAAATAATCTCTGAAATTTTTCTTTCTGAGTACAGGATTCTTTTTTTTTTGCATTATTTTATTGTTGTTCATTATTTCGAATAAAAGAGAAGAATTCTTGGTTATACTTTAGAAACTGAATTGTAAGGAAGGCTTCCTATATCGTGATGTAGTTAACAAATCGGGTCTTTGAATTTTAAAGTGAATAAATGGTGCTATTAATTTAGAATAAATAGAGCACTGTCATTTTGGTTATGCAAGTTCAGTGTATTTATTAACATAATTTCAACATTAACAATTGGAGATCATTTCCTATATAGTCTATAATAGTAATAATCTTTTTTTGTTTTATGTTTAAGCATAAAAATAGAAATTGGAGAATAACAAATAACTAATCTTTACTTAAGTGATTGTTTTTTCACTTTTGTTGTTTTTTAAAAAATACATGATACGGTTATTTTTCCTGACAGATGAAGTGCTATTTTTACCCTGAATACTTAAGTTTAGATCATGTGGACATAACACTACTAAATCTTCATTAGATTACCAATTTGAAATCTACTCAGAGTTAGTGTTAGATATACTTTTATTTGAAATTTTTTATCGTGTCTGGCTTTTTCCTAATATATTTGCTAAGAAAAGAAAAAAACAAGAACATCTCTTTGTTAGAAATGTATTCAGAAGATTCTCCCACATAAAATGATTGTATGAAAAATCAAAACTGTGTCTTACTAGATGGGTAGTTATATTTTTACCATTGACTAAAGAAAAGTTTAATGCCTTTTTGTTTTTGTTTGCAGAAAAGAAAGGAACCAGTTTTTCACTATTTTTGTGACACCTGTGATCGTGGTTTTAAAAATCAAGAAAAGTATGATAAACACATGTCTGAACATATAAAAGTAGGTTTTCTTTTTCTTGGTTGTCCTGGCATTTATTTAGCAAAATGGCCTTCTAATTATATATTTGCTATAAATTCCAGACTTTATTTCTGTAAAAGTTGATAGTTTTCATAGAAATATTCGATGACTTGATGAACTGGCACAGTGACCCTGGGCTTTGCAGGTTGAAGGTGAGGGGCCCACTGCTTCAGGAATAGGAGAGATGGCAGTGAAAAAGGAAGATCTGGCAGCTATTTAACTTGTGTGCCTATACTGCTGTTTAAGAGGGCTGGAATTCCCCTCCAGTTGCCTTCTGTACCTTTGTGAGTTCTTTCCCTTTTAAGGATGCCCTTGACCATTTCACCAGATATCACTGTAATTTACTATGGGCCAAACACTGTCTAAGGATAGTCCTTAATTAGACCATTTGGCTACTGACCTAAAGGTTGGAGGTTCACACCCGTTCAGCAGCACCATAGAACAGCCTGGCAATCATTTTTCTGTAAAGATTATAGCCAAGAAAACCCCATTATAGTACAGCATTGCTTATGTCATACTTTTACTCAAGTAGAGAAATAAATATGTATTACTATATATATAGGAGCTCTGATAGCATAGTGCCTAAGGCACTTGAGTGCTAACCAGAGGGCTAGTGGTTCAAACCCGCCAGCTACTCATCAGAAGGAAGATGGGGCAATCTACTTCCGTAGTGATACTGCCTCAGAAACCCAAGGAGGGGTTGCTATGAGTCGGGTCCGACTCCACGGCACATGACAACAACAACAACAACAACAACATACTATTACTTTGAGAATGCCATTCCTTTTTAAACATGTTGATTTAGAGTGATACTTGTTTTGCTGTACATAGATATGTAGTGATTAGAACATGTAGATGTGATAACTGTAAATATGGCCATAATATGTGTATGTGTGGTAGTAGGTTATATCTAATACAGAAAATAAGAGAAATAAATATTCAGTATTGATTGTTTTAACTCTTACAGTGTCCTGAAGTAGATTGTTCTTTTACTGCACATGAGAAGATTGTCCATTTCCATTGGAAAAGTGTAAGTTTATTTAAAATGTTTATTTTGTACCCTTTTTTTTTTTTTGATACATGCTCTTTTTATTCCATTGATCTATTAACTTAGCTTCTCTTTATTTACGTAGCCTAATAATAAGTATTATTATTACCAGGAGCTCTGGTAGCATAGTGGCTAAAGCACTTGACTGCTAACTAGAAGGCTGGCGGTTCAAACCCACCAGCCACTCCTCGGAAGGAAGGTTGGGCAATCCTACTTTCGTAGTGATACTGCCTCGGAAACCCAAGGAGGGGTCGCTATGAGTCGGGGCCAACTCGATGGCACATAACAACAACAACAACAACAACAATAAGTAACATTTGTGGAATGCTTTGTACTTTTAAAGGCATTTGTATACCTCTTATTCAATTTTACCCTTACAAACAGCCATGCAAAGTAGTTAGATATTGCCCTCATTTAACAAATATTTTTGTAAAAGCTGCCCAAGGGTTCAGAACTGAGTTTTGAGCATGAGTTTCTTCATGACAAATTGCATGCTTGTTTTACTACACCATGCTGCTTTAGATAGTTATAATCGTTGATTTAGCTACCACCCTCTATTTTGATTTGGATGTTTAATTCATTTGACAAAATGTGTGACATAACTACTTTATACCTAAAATTATGTTAGTCCTTTTTTCCTAACTCATAACTCTAGCCTAAATACAAGAGGAATTGTTTTATTTAAAGTAAAAGTCATAGAGTGGATAAAACCTGCTTATTTGGTAGTTTAATATTGTTTCTGTCCCTAAATTTAATACTGAGCACAGAGTCTCCATTATTTCTGATAATACTCAGAGTTTTGTCAGAAAGCATACTGTCTGCTTCCTGATGTTAAGCTGACGTTTTCCCCCCAGATGCATGCTCCTGGTACGAGGAAAATCAAGCTAGACACTCCAGAGGAGATTGCAAGATGGAGGGAAGAAAGAAGAAAGTGAGTGAAGAGTTCAGTGAAAGAACTCCCTTTTACTCTGGCAAGGCTAGATGCTTCCAAATATTCTTTCTGGCCCTAATAATAATTGAAAAGGGAAATCCAGTCATTTATAACTTGACAGATATTCATAGTCAAGTGAATATGACTAATCCTAAATTTATTGTTCTTCAAAATTGATATATAATGACTTTGAAAATATTGCTCTTTGGAGGTTTAGGAATACAATTTTTATTAATGTAGTTTATTTATTTTTAACCCAATGTAGTTTCTTTTTCTTTTCTTTCTTAATGAATGAATGAGTGAATGAATGAATGAATGATTTGGGTGAAGATTTACAGAGCAAATTCACTTTCCATACAGCAGTTCACATATACTTTGTCTCGTGTCATTGACCACAGTTTACCACAATGCAACAGCTTCCCTCCCACTTCCTCCCCATAGTTACCTCTTCCCAGTGACCAAACCTACATATTCTCCTA